GCATGTTTTCCAGCACATGCCACGCCACGGTCCAGCTCCGCATTACAAGGACTGCACTTCATGCAGTGTGGGACGCAGGTATGCTGTCCTGGGTCTTTACAGTCACAGCACGGTGGATGTTCCTGCAGCGCATCTGTGAGGTAAGGGATGCCTGAGCTTGGTTCTCTGACACTCCTAGCTTCCTTGTGGCCAGCTCATCCTCCTCAGCACCCCACAGCAGTGGCGCTTTAGTGCAACTGAACTCATGCTAAGGACAGCATGAGTCATCACCGCTCCCTGATGGGGGTGCTAGCAGAGGTGGAGTGAGTGAGGGCCACAGAATTCTGTGAGATCTCCAGGGGGAATCAGAAGTGTGTGAAACTCCCCATTTACACGGTGGGGAACCCTGGGCTAGGACTACTCTACTGCAAACATCAATATCCTTATTTGCAAAGCGGGACAACAGTCCTCCCTATTTCACACAGTGGTTCTGGTAATTAGCTAAACCAATCTGCAGGAAGGGCTCAGCACCAGAGCAGTGAGGAGCTGGGAGGGGCAGGCTACGCTTTTGGGCTGGGTGCAGGAGCGAGGCTGAGGTTGCAGAAGGAGGGAGGCAGGCACTGGAATTGACAATGCCCCTCTTTCCCGTGTCTGACCTTGACACCATTTTCCTGGAAACAACAGTCATTTTGATAAATTTCTGCTTCAGTTCTCCTGTCTGCAAAATGGGCTTCTGTGCTTTGCTTTCTTTAGAGAAATAGTCAAGCTGCAAGAGTGTTTTTAGGGGCTGGAGAGATGGCTCAGTGGTCTAAAGCACCTACTTAAAAAACAAGCTCAACAAAGCATCAGGGACCGCGGTTCAATCCCCCAGCACCACATGCCAGCCAGCCCCGCCCCCTGGTGGGCTGAGCTGGCCACACACACACACACACACACCTCTCTCTCTCTCTCTCTCTCTCTCAAATAAATTAAAAAAAAAAACAAAAAAACAAGAGTGTTTTTATTAATGCTCTGAAAAGACATAGGTAGAAGTCATGTATTGTCACCAGCTTTATACAGAGAAGCCAGCTTAGAAAGGATGTAATTTTAAACTAATCGCATGAACTGTGACACATTACTTAAACGTCTATTCATTTACCGCTTTCCACCATTTAAACACTTGGGTTAAGAATGAACTAGCACTATAGAACTGGGAGGTGGTGAAACCTTTAAGATACTGAGCCTGAAGTGTGGCTTATAAGTCACTGAGGAGCTTGCACATGGCAAGGACAGTGTGACTCTGGTATCTTCCTCTTTTTGTTTTGCTTTTCAATGAGGAAATGAGCAAAACCACATGCTCCATGATGTGCCCTGTCAGAAGTCCAAAGCATTAGGATCAACCAATTATGGAGTAAAACCTCCAAACTTTTAAGCCAAAACGACTCTTTTATCTTTATAAGTTATATATGTCAAGTATTTGTTATACTACTGGGAAAACTGTCTAACACAGACTTATCTGTCATAATTTTTGTCACAAAGATTTATAAAAGGAATTCATAAGCCAAATAAATTCTATAAAATATTCTAAAAAAAAAAAAAAGATTGAACTAGCACTATAGAATTGAAAGCCTGGCTCAGCGACAAGGACTGGGGAAATGTGAGGAACTCCCAGAGACCAGCAGTCGCTGTAGGCTCTCTTGTGAAAGCCAGGAAGTCCTCTGACAAACCAAGTCCTTGACCTTGCCTTCTCCTCTCTCTCCCCTCCCCTGGCTTCACCTACTCAGCGGGTGTGCATCCTAGGGACCCCCTCTCTCATCACCCCCTAGATGACAGCAGACACCCACAGCAGACGCTCAGAGACACACTCATCAGAGAACTGTAAAGTGGGAGGAGCAGGGATGCATCGTCCAGTATTCTGATGGTGCTCCTTGTTGGGTTTGACAAGGTCAGAACTCTGGGTAATGATATTTGTGAACAGCTTATGGATATCGGAGTGTGGACCATGGCTTCCTGCTTTTGTCATGACAGACTCATTGAGACTTCACTACACTCTATCCAATTCATCCACCAACAGTGTGCACTTTGATGTTCTTTGTGTAGACAGACTTGGGTACACAGACCCACAACTGGTTTTAGAACATTCTTCATCACCTCAAAAAGAAAGCTTGGGAACCTTTCCCAGCCACCCCATTCTTCTCAACCCTGCCCCTCGGCCTAAGCAACACTAACGTGCTTTCTGTCTCTGTAGATTTGCTCAGTTCAGACACAGCACACAGAATCACACACCATGTACCTGGCTTCCTGCACCTGGCTTCCTGCACCTAGCAAGATGCTCTTTAGCTTCACCCAGGTGGTAGGTAATGCATCCAGCTTTTTGTTCCATTTTTTGGAATACTCTTCATGGCTGTTTCCTACTTCTGTAGCCAGCCTGGCTCTGGAAGTCTTCCTAGCTCTGGTAGGTTTTTTTTTTTTTATGTTTATTGTAGTATTTATTATATTTTAAGGCTTTACAAACCCTTCCCACTCTCTTATAAATCTTTCCTGCATTTAAAAAAACACTTCTAATGTTCTTAACCATTTTCTAAACTTATAAACTTACATAATTTTAACAACATACTTGTAGAGCATTGCACACAATAGCAAAATCCTGCAATATAGTGAAAAATCCATGATAAATAATTTAGATTGGGCCAGGGAGATAACTCATGGCTGGGGAGA